TTTGATTGATTGACCGAGGAAAGATGTTCCACATTTGATGTAATCTTTAAGATTTTGCATTGATCCTTCCACTAATAGGAGGAAGAAAAGAAAAGAAAAAAATTTGATTAGACAGATAATAGGCACCATTAAAGTGGAGGCAGCTGGTCAAGCTTTCATATAGTTATAGCGAGAGAGAATTTGAACACTGCATAAACACTTTCATTTAATATACTGCTGTGTTAGAGATAGTTGGTGGTGTAAAAGTAAATAGTCGGACTCTTTTAGTTCAGTTTGTGATATTTCAATGTGTTCTTCTGCAGTTGCGATTTGTCCAGTGCTTAAAATTAGCTGTCTAATTGATAATGAATGCCTCCTCCATTCGAATCTTTAAATTTTTAATGTAGATGGTGCTGTCCGTGATAGCTTTGGTGAAGCTGGTATTGCAAGATTACATATGAAAAGCAATGAAATGTTTCCGGCCTCAAACCACAATTGATCTGTTGCTTATAGTAATAGCATCTTTTGATGTACTTGGCTCGTTATTTGAGCTCTCACCAGTCCACCATGAACCTCCGATGACGTGTCAAGGGGAAGTTGATGAAACGGCTTTGGAGGTATTTCAAGTGCTTCAACCTCATTTTCAAGCATTCTCATGACTTCACTCATTGATGAAATGTTTTCCATTTTTTTAAAAAAGAAAAGCTGGAATCAACATACTGAGGACTTCGTCTGGAATATTTTGTTTGATCGTGCTTGTTATCTACAAATGGAGAAGAAGATATTTATCTGTGGATGATAAGATTGAAGAGTTTCTTCAAAACCACAATCTTTCACCAATTAGATACTCTTTTAAACAAATAAAAAATATGACGGTGAAGGGGACTACGACACGGTGTTTAAAGGAAAGCTTCGTAGTGGGCATCACGTGGCAGTGAAATTGCATGGCAAATCAAAAGGTAATGGCCAAGATTTCATAAATGAAGTTGCCTCTATTGGGAGAATTCATCAAGCTAACGTGGCAAAACTTGTTGGATTTTGTGTGGAGGGATCAAAGCAAGCTCTTGTATACGACTTCCTGTCAAATGAATCTTTGGATAAAATCATATTTACGGAAGAAAATAACAACACTGTGGGTTAGAAGAAGATGTTTGAGAATGTGCTTGGGGTGACTCAAAGAATCGACTACTTGCATCCAGGGTGTGACATGCAAATTCTACATTTTGATATCAATTCACAATATTCTTCTGGACCACAATTTTAATCCAAAAGTTTCAGATTTCAATCTTTGCTGAACTGTATTCAGTAGATGATAGCATTGTGTCTCTCATTGTAGCACGGGGAACAATAGGATATATTGCTCCCGAACGTTTAAACTCTGCAAAGCATACTTTTATACATTTCACTACGAGTGGGTTGATTAGGGCCTATGCAAAATGAAATGTTTAAAGCTCTTCTAATATCTTCTCAAGCCCAAATGCTGCACTATATACAATCTGCAATATGAAGAATAAACACACCCAAATAAACAGAGTAATAGGTTGGATGCAATAACTCTAAATGTTTTTCTATTGTTTTACAGTTTTGAAGAAACTTCGTCTTGAAATGAAAGTTTGTGGATGCATTCCTCCTTGAAGTAGTACTCCGGCTCCCATCCAAGCAAAACACCCTCAGATAGCTTATTGTAGATACCCAGCGTAGACATGCCTGAGATATTATCAACCCAAATTGGAACCTGGGCTTCCACAGTGCAGGATTGACTGAAATCAGACGGCAGGATTCCTTCCTCTAAAAAGTAGAAATAGGAAGAGGCATTGGAGTTGATACTACAACGAGATGCTGAAACATAAAGAGCTGATTTTATTGGTTTCGTGCAATTCACAACATACACAATGCTACGACGATGATAGTGACAATCAAAGGAAAAATGATCTATGTCTACGGAACTGAGAGGAAGGGAGTTGCAATCATCCATGTCCAGGCCCGTATCATAAAATTTGCCAACGTGGTGACATTATTTTTCTCACACTCAACTTCATAGTTCATACCTAGGGCTACCACAGTGACGAGGTTGGTTTTTTAAGCTTCCACAAAAAAACAGACCCACAATCCTGGTTTAGATGTCTGGCCAGGCAAGCACCAGGAAATACTGATACAAGTAGAAATGAAGCAAAAGCGGCCATTAGCTGACCCAACAATGGCGGCTTTGCTTTTAAATTTGACATGCTAAAATACTTGGGGTAGGGAAGAAGCAACAACAATGGAGTTTCACACAAAATTCAGCTAAACATATAACAAAACTTCAGCCTCAGAGAAAGCATTAATGGGGGTAGAAGACTTTCACTGAGAAGACTTCCACGAATATAAGTGGAAGTGAGGTGGACCAAGGTATTTTTAGTATGTGGAAGACTTCATATGCCATTGACCATTGCTTCCAAGGTATTTTTTCAAAGACTAATATTTAATTTTAATCTCTAAAATGAACTTGATTGTGTTCTATTCAATCCCACATTAGTTTTTAGTATATAGGGAGTTAGGGACTATGACTGCACATCTTCAACATGTAAAATAAAATATGCATGACATAAATAAATGGCATTATGAAACAAATATGTGAAGTGCTTATGTGAACCTATGATGAAATGGTCAATGTGCATTAGGTCTTTAGCAATTAGTGTTTCTTGTACTTGATCTTGATTTCGTCCCTGATCTTTGGTCTGGGATCAAATGACTTGAAAGGAAAGCTTGGGTAGGAAGTAACTCATCCATGTGTTTGATAATATACATGAAAGAATTGTTTATTCCTTTAGCCATGTAAAGCACGGAGTACCTTTGATGGCTGCAAACATATTATTATCTTTTTTCCCCTCATCAACAGCCTTTGTGGAAAGACAAACCTACACTGAAATCTGGGAATGTAAAAACTTTCACTGCAGTTGCCATTATGCTTGCAGACTTACACTTGCTGAAATGATGGCATTCTTCAAAATGAAGGTGATCATATTTTACTGAAATAGATTCCTTTTTCAATGGTTACACTTTAACCACTCTTTGCCAAGATTGTGTTTTGCAATAAAGTTACGCATGATGGTATTAAATAATGGTTATTATGGGAACTGAAATGGAAAGAACTAAAAAAAAGGAGAAGAAAAAGAAATAAAGGTACAAGGCATCACTGGTATTACTGAGTGCTACCATATTCTGCTGAAGATAAGGGAACTTTAGCTTGTTCTGGTTAGTTAAGAACATATATTCCACTAAAGTTATCTGCTATTATATATTCCCACTTTAAGCTTTACCTAATTCTTCCTTTGGCAGGGTATGAATTGCATACGATGTTATTCGGTCCGGGATACTCACGCTCGAATTCGTGTTTAATACATACCTCTAACACGAATACTTTAGAGAAAAGCGTAAACCCAAAACCTTCTTGCTTCATTTAAAAGTGGACTTGATACTTGCACATTTGCACTGTTTAAGGCCAGTGTCAGCCATAGAGTTGATGCAATTATGGGAAAGATTAGCTTTTTCAATCTTTTGAGTATCTTTCTTTTAGGTAAAGCATGCTTTGAGGATAAGAAAAGACCCACTTTACTGGTATTATTTAACATTTCTCTTTTAATCTTTCCCTCAAAACAGCCTTACATGCACTGAACCCTCTCTGTTGCCAACAGGCTTAAAATAGGTTTTAAAGTAAGTCTCTTTGGTAGCATTATGCATGAGAAAAACATCAATAATTTTACATGGCACTAAATTTATATTGAAGTTTTTGGTTATATTATGTCATCATGCATCTGCTGCATCATGGTCTGCCATGGTCTTTTAGGAAAAGAATGATGACTGGTGAGAAACAAACAGATCTTTTTTTCATATATTTATATGCATTACTGTGGAAAAAATGAGCCCTATTATTATTACAGCATCAATGTCTGCTTTCTCTGAATTATGAAATGTTCCAAAGGGTGGGTGGGCGGGCAGGTTTAGCCTGTGTCATCACTGTCCACCATTTCCATTATTACACTGAGAGTCAGATTTGAATAAAAAAAAAGGCTAGTGTGTCCGATTAACAGATTAAGGCAGCTAATAATTAAATATCATTCATGGTGGATCCCAATCCAAGGCCCCTATGTATTTATTACCTCACACCCTCTGGCCTCTTCTGTTGTTTCCCATATAGGCAGCCTAACCCTATGACAGGTTGTTTCCATTCACATGATACTAATGAATATCAAAATCTTTACTATTCAACTTCATAAATGCAACGTTATCTTATCTTCATGTTGAAACATAATTGGAAAAATCCCTAATAGCCATAGATTGTACTTTCCTTGTAAGTTTCCAACTATTTCTAGAAAATCAGTAGATATAATATAGAAAAATTGGAAACAACTTGCTGAAAACCTGCTATAATAGGGCCCCATGTTTTTAGCTGATAGCATTTAGCAACTTATCTTCCATTAGTAGACAAAACACCAAAAAATAATTCCCTATAATGTGAAAGATTAAAAAAAAGAGTAGATGCCAGTGTTTAATTACATTCACATGTTTGAAATTACCTTGAACCTTCCAACATGTTTGATTGATTGAATGATGAAATATGTTTCACATTTGATGTAATCTTTAAGATTTTGCATTGATCCTTCCAGTAACAAGAGGGAGAAAAGAAAAGAAACGGATAGATTAGACAAATAATAGTGCCATTAAAGTGGAGGCAGCTGGTCAAGCTTTCATATAGTTAGAGAGAGAGAATTTGGACACTGCATAAACACGGTTCCTTTCATTTCATTTAATATTGTATGTTATGAGTGCAGATAAGCATGTTGGTGTCAAAATCATCTATCTGGAGCTGTGATTTTATAGGGACAAGAAATTTTGCATGGTCCATTCCATTATTGGTGGGCCAAAATCTCTCCATCTCTCTCTCTCTCTCTCTCTCTCTGCATATGCAAATGAATTGTCTTGAGAGAGAGCACAATATGTTATTATCATGCATTTGTGATGGTGGACAAATAGTACCATAGATATATATATTTTTCTTCCAATTTATCTGGTCCAAAAGAGATGGCTGATTCTTTTGTAATGTCATCTTCAACTCCATGCTCATGTCTTTATCACTGTTGGAATGTACAACTTTGAAAGAAAGAAGATGAAAAAGACAAAATGGGACAGAAAATGGGGGAATACCAATGAAAAGAACATAGTACAGACCATCCATCCATCTTTGCAGCTTGAAACAAGTCATTGCATTTACATTAGAAAATCACTTTTTAACATTTTTAGGTGTTGCAGCAGTAGTTTTCCAAATATCTTATATATACCGCTCTACTAAATTAAATATAAAAAAACTCAAACATTCTTTAAATAAAGATTTTAAATTTAATTTTCTTCCGAAATAAAAGATGCGACTCTACTCGATTCTAGATTTAGTCTAATACCCTTATGACTACCAACCACCAGAGATCTTAGATATATGTTAAGATATCATGTCTGCCAACTTTACTCAACCCCAACAAGACTACATGAACGATTTGTGAGGTTGGCTTTTTACATTGGTTGCCTAATGTTGACAAAATGGAACTATTAACAAACACTTTTAGACAAAGTACCCACTCATGAATAATGATAAAGAGGGTGAATATATATATATATATATGAAGTAAAACATAGAGAAAAGTGAAGCATAATGATTTTTACCCAAGGAAGATGGGGGAGTTGGGTTTTCATCCACAATCACCAAGAATCTATTAGTAAAAGACCTTATAGTCATGTTGTAGACACCCGTTTTGTCCGGGATATTATTATTATTATTATTATAATATTTTATTATTAATAATAATGTTAACGTTATTTATGTTATCATTTTGCAGGCCAAGGTACACCGAGCACAAATCAGACCCCAAATTACAAACAGTGCACGTCATCCATGTTGATTTCCAAGTTTGAGCATGTTACGAGCATATTTGGATGATTAAGTCTTCTTAAAATTTAATCCTCTATCTCTTATCTTTCCAACGCACTTTGAATCGTATCAATCCGATATCGGTAGCTCAAGATATGATCAGATAACTGAAGACTGTGCAAGCTGGAAAATCAATACGGGAGTTACGAATTCAGTTCGATAAAACCTTTGTTGTTCTTTGCACATGCATTGGAAACGTTGGAACAGCACATATGAGCACTAAGGAGTGTCTAAACAGGCGGAAATTGGACATTAACAGCTTACAAGGATAATGCAACACGTAGGAGCACATGTGAGACATTTCCAGCTCATACACGGCAACAAGCACATGCGGGGGAAAGTTTATGTTGGGGCACACTCACAAAGCATAAACAGCACATTAAAATTATTAGAGAGAAAGGCAGCACGTGGGATACAAAACTAGTTGAATAAAATCAGTCCCGATGACTCATCTATCCACCCATGCTGTCCATGCCCCTCGTGAAGACCCCATGTTCCTGCAAAATACATTAGTATATTCAACACATGATGTGGGAGCAGCATTATTATGGGAGATAATAAAAAAATTCATCATCAGCAATGAGGCTCACGTTACCCCAAAAACCGGGAAACAGTGTGAATGTCCACCAAGCACCTACCCGCGTTTGTCGGCCATTCAGGAAGCATTACCGCCGTCCACTTTGTTCGAGCCCATAACCTACAAAATTTGTTTTTGTTTTCAAAGGAGGGGGGGAATATAATACAGAGGACGGAAATTAACCAAGGAAAGGAAGGAGGTTCACGAGAGCAGGGAACCAGAAACCAACAGTGAGGAGTTCGACAACCAAAAATTAACGAGGAGGTTTCCCAACAATCATTCGAAGGGGGCTCTCAAACAAGGGACGAAAACAGTAAAAAACAAAGGAGGGTGGTCTCAATCTTTTCCTTCGAATTTACAGCAGAAAATCAATGTAAAAGAGAAAAGAAAGTGCAATCCTTCATTGTATTAAAATCGGGAAAGCAATAGAAAACACGTTTTTGGGTTTGAGGTACTCTCTTTGGTTTGTTTCCATTTTCCCGTTTTCTTTGTGTGTACTGGTCTTGTCTTCAAACCAAGGTAAATATGAAAAAATCAGGAGAGGATTGTTTACCCGAGTCGTGCGTAGCAGGGGTTGGTGTCCGAGCGTTGAGATTTGTCTGAGACCTTGCACATGGGTATGAGGTTTAGCTTTTAGATCGTGATTTCTAAATAGAGTGAGAATAAAGAGAGGTAGGGTGAAGATCGTTTACCTTTACGTTGAGTCACCGGGGCGTTGTGCATGGTGGCCGGATTTGGGATTTGGAGTCCCGTGGTTTGTGAATGGGGGAGATGAAAAGAGAATATAGAGGGAGAGTAGAGAAGATGAGAGGAACGTCTGAGGGATAGGTTTAGTTTAAAGTAAGTTTTATATTAGGTTTTTAGGGTTAATTGCTTTAAGGTCACCACGCTTTTGCCCATATTTTCGTTTGGTCATGGAATCGAGTCCTGTTTGTTAGTAATTTGGACTTCATCTTTTATGCACATTTGATTTTAGTCTTGAATGCTAGTGTATGTGTTTCCTTTCGTTTGCACATTTGGTTTTCAAGTTTTTACATGTTATATTTTAATCCTTAAATCGATATTTTTGTATTTTTGATTTTAACTTCATGTTTTATCCGTATTTAATTTCAGCCCGATTGGTAATGTACTTAGGTTTGTTTCTCTAGACATTTTAACCTCTGAATGGTTGCATGTTTCGTTTTAGTCCCTAGGTCGAAGTTTGCATGTTTCTAATTATGTCTTTTTATTTTATGGTTCATTTAATTTTCGTCCTAGTGTTGATTTGTTTATTTTCTGTTGTTTAGATGTTGACCCTCATATCTTTGCATGTTGCATTTTAGTGCTGAATTAGTAATGTGTTCAGTTTCAGTTTGTTTAGACATATTGCTTTTATTTTTGTACGTTTCGTTTTAGCCATTGTTTAATATTTTATGCTTAATTGTAGGTTTAATTTAGATTTATTTCGAGTATATGCATGTACATATTATTTTGAGCAGGTTGTTAGTATGTACTTGTTTAGGTGTAATGTTTTAAAGCATGTTAGCCTCATTTGTGTGACTTAACCTTGACTATATAATCGGATTAAGGGTAATACCCTTTTAATTTAAAACTATTGAAATGACTTCTCTTAACTTACTAGAGGGTCGTTTTGATGATTTTAAATTAAAAGTGTATTCCAACAGTGTCACCAAAAGGATTGATTAATCACTTTAAAATTTGGGAATGAAAGAAAAAGAAATGTTCGATTATTTAAATTATTTGAGAAAAGATCGTTAGAACTCAACTAAAGATCTGGTCTCGATATTTTTAAATAATCGAATATCCTTTATCTTTCTAATGGCTTGGTAATTTTAATATAACTTATTTCGTTGTTTTTGAATGTTACAAATTTGCATTTTGTTGTTTTAAGGGATCATAAATCAAACTAACTCTGAACTTGTGAAATTCGTTGCAAAGAAATTAATTAATCGACTAGGTACCGATTTAGGGCGTTGTGGGGGTGCTAATCCTTCCCCACGCGTAACCGACTCCCGAACTTGGATTTTGATAACGCAGACCTCTACTTGTCGTTTTAATTAAAATTAATTTTTATTTAAAATGACAAAATGTTTTTGGGTGCCCAATCACACCCTAATCAAAGATTGGTGGCGACTCCTCGAACCTTATTATTTTACCGTAACGGAATTTCCAATTTTTCGAAACGAGAGGTTTTCTAAAATTGCATTGTTTTTAATTGAAATTAAATCGTAAAGAGAACAATTAAAAATGACGCGGTTTCCAAATCCCCCCCACCGTTTAAAAATCGTTTCGACAGCTTGGCGACTCCGCTGGGGACTTTTAGAGAGTCAGGCCTATAGTCGATTAATTAATTGTCTTTGCAAACGAAAGTTGTAAGTTCACTTTAATTTGATTAATGATCCCTGATTTGTTTTAAATTGTTGTTTGCATTTTAATTTGCGTTTTAATTAACAAATAAATAGTTGTACTAACGTGTGATTTACATGTTTCAGTTTTTTGGCCTTCACTTTAGTTTGTTGTGTTTCTTGGATCGAGGGAAAGGATTATAGGTTTCTCCTTTACAGTCGCAACAACCATTTTGATATTTAGAGCCTTCTAATTGTGCTCTGTCCCGTTAAGTAGGGGTGAAAGCTACGCTTACGTGAGAAAAATTATTTTTCTCCGCACGGGCTTTAGCTAGTAACCTCTGGGGTACATGCTTTATGTCTACGAGAAAACATTGAGTTTTCTCGCATGGATATAGGGAAATGTATCCTCTCGGATTGAACTTGATTTGTTTTAAGCCTATAATGGGTGAGAATCGAGGGTCTGGCAAGCCCAAGGGGGCACCAGCAAAGGACAATTCGAGGACCCTTTTAGAAATACTGAAACTCTGCCCATCTTATGTTGAATTTCTGTCTGCAGACACGAAGGGGAAACTCATTCTAACCTTTTCCTCGAATTTATTTTTGCAATAAGTATGAGAACTAGAAAAGCATGCGGTTAGGTTTTATATTTTCGCACAAAACATGTGAATTAGATACCATGCGGTTAGGATCTTTATGAATGACAAAACATGTGGGTAGATATCATGTCGGGTAGGATCTACTAAAGCATGATTGGGTAGCCAGCATGTGAGGGTAGGTTTTATGTGATGTTTACGGTATCCACTATCTTGTTGTTTATCTTATGTGTACTAACCCGTTTTCGTTCTATGTCTATTTTATTGTGATTTTATTGCATTTGCATCCTCATGTCATCGAGGGGTGTTAATTCACAAGTGATTGACTAACAAGAAGGCTGACCATATTGAGGCAAGAAATTCTCCACTATGTAGTCAAAACCAGGAGATCCAGAGATGTTCAAACGATCCATGAAGGACACCCGATGAACGAAGAGATCTGAAGCTGATTGAAGAATTCCTTTAAAGCTGCAAAGGCCAAGATGTTGACTCAAGGGATAGATACAGTCATACCAAGGACGAGAAGACCCTTCATAACGACATGAAGACCACTTCACATTGGAGGTGAGAATGG